ACAGGACTTATAGGAAAGTGTTTTGTGACATTATAATAATATAACATAATAATATAACTTTAAATAAATAAAATTTCTTAATAAGATCAAGTAATAGGATTCATTAAGCTCATAAATATAATACGTACCAAAATGTAACATGGTTATTTTTTTTTACTTATCATTCAGTTAAGGGACAATTATTTTTTAATTTTCCGTTGGTATTTTTTTTTATTTTTCCATCTACTATGAATATACTACAAATTTAATAGAAACTAAAGCTTTTATACTTGGGCACGAATATACACGAATCGTGTTGTGATGTTGCAATATATTCGTGCCCAAGTATAAAAGCTTTAGTTTCTATTAAATTTGTAGTATATTCATAGTTTTCGTAAGTTTTTTAGATGGAAAACTAAAAAAAAATACCAACAGAAAATTAAAAAATAATTATCCCTTAACTGAATGATAAGTAAAAAAAAATATACCATGTTACATTTTGGTACGAATTATATTTATGAGCTTAATGAAAGATCTTATTAAGAAATTTTATTTTATATAAATTTTATTTAATATAAATATAATAACAATATTTTATATGAATTTACTATAACCAATTATTTCACACCTATTTTTTATTAATAAAAATTCATCTTCATCATCATTATCACTAGCCTTCACAAATCAACTGCTGAACACCGGCCTCCTCCAGTTAACGTCACAAAACACTTTCCTATAAGTCCTGTAAGACTTGCATTCCTAACCAACCAGGTCGCCAGTCTATCAAGTGGACTCCGCTTACTTGGCTGGTACCGCTTACTGGGCGAAACCACACTCGAGTACCTTTCTACTCCATAGGTTTATGGCAAACCCATTGCTACTTCAGTTGTCAATATCGGTTACTCACATTTTACTGCTTGTTTCACCATTTCGAATCCTGATAGGAAGAGAAACTTCAAGCATAGCCATATCTATAGCTGAGCGACTTTAAGCTTCCTCAAACGCCTTGTGAGACGATGCCGTACACAATAAAGGCTTTAAAATCCATACCGCTACGAGTATTGAATTTACTTGTCTTTGATGTAGCCAAGGCTCTAATAGGTACTAGCCAGTTATATGGGAGAATAAATATCAGAAAATGGTTAAAATAAAAGATTTCGTTAAATGGTCTGCTTTCATTTATATGCAAGAATTTGAATGAGACTTCATTCAAATTCTTTGTTGTTGTGTTAAAAAATGGCTAACACGGCCTTTCAATAAATTAATCATAGTAAAAAGCATACCGTTACCGTTACAGCCTATTAAAGTCCATTGATGACCGTAGGCCACCCCCACAGATTGCCTCATAAGAGGGATATTTTCCATATTTGCCACGCTTGGCAAGCGAGTTGGCAACCGCAGTTTTTTTATTTTAAGTTGTTATTAGGAGGACTCTGCTGCCCATCTCCTGATTTGTTTCCTCCTGTCGCCTCTAACGACACACACGGAATGATATGGGATAGTGAATATTTTTACAATACCATTACACAGTAATAAGCATACAAAATATTTTAATAATTATAAATGGCGTTATGGTCATATTTATAAAAAATCCTACGTACAACTCACAAATCGCGTACAAATGCGCAGGTTTGCCGAATTCACTTTCACTATTACATTTTAAAATTTCATTGTTACATTTCTAAAATTAAGGCCCTTACTTCGGTTCTATTATGTTTTAATACAATAATGAGACTACGCCCAATGCAAGTTCTGTCTGTACTAAAAAATCTATAAAATAACATGATGCTGCAGTTGCCAACCCGCGTGCCAAATATGGTTACTACAGCAATTACCGCTCCATCCATATGAGGCATATTTTGAACAGTTCAGTTTTTCACCGTCATTTTCAAAAAGTAATCGTAAAATTAACTCTTATTTTTGACATGCAACTACTCGTAAGCTTTTCTATATTCGATTATTATTTATTTTTACATTTCAGTTATATTTCACGGAACGAAAATGTACCAGAAGCCCGATAGGCTTACATTAGAGCAAATAATTATTTGGTTTACTTAAACTCTAATGACTCTTCACTGAATTCGGCACATATAAAATTCTATCGTAACTACGAATCTAAAATTAATTAAAACTTTTAATGAAATTGCGTTAGCAAGAGAAACTTCTATGAAGTATGATATAATTATATAACTTTTATGATATTTACAAAGGAGCCAGTTTTTATTTGATTAATTGACTTTGTCTTAAAAACGAGGTAGAGCCATGCTGCAGCTACATTAATAGTATAGTTGTAGCACGGATAGGTCGGCTCGACCGGGGAAGGACCACGCTCTCACGGAAAACCGGCGTGAAATAGCAGCTTAATGCTGCTGTGTTTCGTATGGTGAGTGTAGAGAACCTGAGACCCATTTTACTGGAAAATAGGCATTCCATCTTAGTCCAAACGGGTGACAACACATCTGCATTTTGATTTGCAAACGAAGATAGATGTAGATGTCTATGGGCAACAGCAATCACTTACCATCAGGTGGACTGCATGCTCGTTTGTCACCCTTATTCAATATAAAAAAACATAATTAATTTGATTCAAAACTTTTGCTTTAGAAAATAAAAATTCTTAAATTATGTGACTTAAATTTTTCGTTTAATGTTATGATTGGAAGAAAGGAATTACGTAACATTTTTTTTATATGATGAGGATGACAAACGAGCGCACAGTCCACCTGATGGTAAGTGGTTGCTGTGGCTCATAGACCTCTTCATTTATCTTCGATTAAGAATCAAAATGCAGATGCGTTGTCACCCATGAGGACTAAGATGGAATGCCTCGTTTCCAGTAAAAAGGGTCTCCGGTTCTCTACACTCACCATACGAAACACAGCAGCGTTAAGCTGCTATTTTACGCTGGTATTCTGTGAGAGCGTGGTCCTTCCTCGGTCGAGCCGACACATTCGAGCTACAACCATAATATAGCTGCAGCATGGCTCTACCACGTATAAATATTATGAAGAAAGGTTCTCGAGTGGTAGATTCCTGCCAGTAAGCGAAATGTATTGCGGCACCCACTACTATTTAGTGAAGACCTGGAAGGACCTGGAATAGATGTAGAAAGACGTTGGATGTAGGTTCCTCAGGAGTCAGGACCGTAATTTGTAATATTCCTTGGGGGAAGCCTGTGTTCAGCAGTGGACTTGTGACTTCTTTGGTAATAATTACACATTTTTGCAAATATAGAGATATGTCCTTTGATATATGATAAATCCACAGAAGTGTAGATCCTCTAATATCAATCTTTTCTAACTTCTGTAACAATAGGTCATGTGAAACTAGGTCAAAGATTTTAGGTGGGTCCAAAAATAGTCCTTTGCTAAAATTATTGTTATTGATATGTGACAGTACTACTTTTATGAGTGAGAAAATCGCCAAAGTTGTCGATTTATTTTTTTTGAAAGCCGTACTGTTCGTTTGGTATAATGTGATATTTATTAGAAAATTGTAAAGTTAATCTAGTTGAATATTTTCCAGAACTAATTGAATATTTAAAGCTCGCGAATGAACCAACATACCCAAGTTTGAAATCTGGAGCAAAATCCGCTCTGTAGTTACGAATAAAAACGTAAAAAGAGCAACAACGCAGCGTCGATCTTGGTTTTATATGAGGTTTAAAGCTTGCATCTATATTTACATGATACATGAATAGCGTGGACGTTACGTGTAAGCCTCGGTATAGAATTTTTATCGATATACTCGTATATTGTTACATTGTCTTATCTCTATTATTAGATACGCAGATGTTCACTTCTGCAGGCAGCGCCAAAATGGCGAAAATCAATTCGCCTCATTATGTCACGGTGTATAGCCAGTCCATATACAGAGCTTAATGAATTTCATTATCATCATCATCATCATCACAGCCTTTCATAAGTCCACTGCTGAACATAGGCCTCCCCCAAGGAATGCCACAAATCACGGTCCTGAGCCACCTGCATCCATCGACTTCCTGCATGCCTTACCAGGTCGTCACTCCATCTCGTGGGGGGTCGCCCTACACTTCACCTACCGGTACGAGGCTGCCACTCGAGAACCTTTCTTCCCCATCGGTTGTCGGTTTTTCGAGCTATATGGCCGGCCCACTGCCGCTTCAGCTTACTAATCCGTTGGGCTATGTCGGTTACTCTGGTTCTACTGCAGATATACTCATTTCTAAGTTTATCACGCAGAGAAACTCCGAGCATAGCCCTCTCCATAGCTCGCTGAGCGTCCTTGAGCTTCCTCATACGGCCAGCAGTGAAGGACCACGTCTCAGTTCCGTAAGTCATCACTGGCAACACGCACTGGTTGTACAATTTCGTTTTAAGCTTTTGAGGTATGTCTGACGAGAAGATGTGTCGTAGCTTCCCGAACGCTGCCCAGCCGAGTTGAATCCGTCGATTGACCTCTCGGTCGAAGTTGGACTTACCTAGTCGGACTATTTGTTCTAGGTAAACATACTCGTCAACAACTTCGAGTTTAGTGCTCCCAACAACTACCGGCATAGGTGTGACATGGACATTAAACATAATCTTTGTTTGGTCCATGTTCATCTTAAGACCTATCCGTTGGGAGACACTATTGAAGTCATTGAGCATAGTGCTTAGGTCCTCCAGCGATTCTGCCATAAGGACTATATCGTCAGCAAATCGAAGGTGAGTGATGTACTCGCCATTGATGTTAATACCGTATCCTTTCCAGTCCAGAAGTTTGAAAACGTCTTCCAATGCAGCGGTGAAGAGTTTCGGGGATATAACATCACCCTGTCTGAATACTTTTTAATTCGAGGTGAAAAATAAAACTTCTTGATGCAGATATTATCGCCGTGTACTTTCAATTGACAAAAAAAAATTGGCGGTGGTTACAACTTAAAAACAACAAAGAAAAAAGAAATAAGTAAAACGTATGTAACGCAACTTCGTGCGTAACAAAAACCACAGACGTTTTCGTAGACATGCCCCCAGGCGTTGAAAGCTTGTCTTTCAACAAAATTAGCCTTCCTTGTTGTTAGGTAAAGGGCAGATTTTGCAGAAAGGTCTTCGGACGATTCCGGTGGCAGTTCTGATATCGGCAACGCGGTTGATGCCGTCGGCTCCGGGATGAAAGGCTGTAATTCGACCCAGTCGCCATTTGAGCGGCGGTAAATTGTCTTCCTTCAGAACTACAAGATCACCCGTCCCTAAATTGTCAGCATTGGAACGCCATTTTGATCTCTGCTGGAGTTCTGAGAGATATTCCTTGCTCCATCTTCTCCAAAAAAGTTGACGAAGTTGTTGGATGCGTTCGTATCGACTCAGTCTACTGCTAGGGACTTCTTCATAATTTTGAGAAGGAAGAGAGGTGATGGGGCGGCCGATGAGGAAATGTCCCGGGATTAATGGCAGTAAGTCATCAGGATCCGTGGAGAGAGGTGTCAGCGGACGAGAGTTCAGTACACCTTCAATTTGAACCAGCACAGTGTTTAATTCCTCGTATGTAAGGTTACAATTACCTAATATTCTCCGTAAATGATATTTTATTGACTTAACGCCTGCTTCCCAAAGACCGCCAAAGTGAGGGGCTTGCGGAGGAATGAAATGGAAATTTATATTTTCCTGAGCCAAATTCTCGGACAGTGAATTGCAATTGTCTTTTATAAAACGACCGATTTCGTTGTATGCGCCTACGAATGAAGTTCCGTTGTCGGAGTATATGTGTTTAGGTTTTCCGCGACGTGAAATGAATCGACGAAGTGCTGATAAGTAATTATTACTTGTTAGATCGCCTGTTAACTCCACGTGTACAGCCTTTGTCGCAAAACAAACGAAGATGAGAATATACACTTTCGTAAGCTTGCAACCACGGCCTTGACGACTGGCGGACATAATAGGTCCAGCATAATCGACGTCAACGCTCTCGAAGGGAAAACCGCCGGGAGTCACTCGACCCTGAGGCAGATTGCCCATAAGTGGATTTATAACCCTTCCCTTATAACGACAACATAAGTAACATTGTCGATAACAATATTTAGCTAACTTGAGGCCTCCGATGGGCCAATACATTTCTCTAATTGAAGCTAATAGTAAACGAGGACCGGCGTGTAAAAGCTTGACATGCATATACTTAAACAATAATTTGGTAAAACGATTAGTGGACTGTAACATAATCGGATGTTTCTTTTCATAAGTAAATAATGCATTTCCTAAACGACCACCGACACGCATTATTTTATTTTCGTCTAGGAAAGGATTAAATTTCAAAATAGTACATTTTGAAGGCAATTTTTTGTTATTATATAAGGTCACATATTCCTCGAATGACTCAATTTGTGACAATCTAATTAAAGTATTTAAAGAATTATGTAGATCGTCGTTACTTAAAAATTTACCTTGTACCGGTTTCTTTTTACAAATATTAATAAATCTTAACACGTAGGCCATAGAACGTTGTAATCTTATAAAATTAGAGAATCTCTCAAAGTCAATTAAAGGTTTTTTCTGATCGGTAACAACTAAAGAAATCTCTGAGCGAGTTTCTGGTAGCTTATCACTTACAATAGGGTTAGCAGGCCAATTAGACATGTCACCCTTTAAAAACTGTGGACCAGACCACCATAAGTCAAGATTGTGAATTTGATTTATGTTCGTACCGCGGGAAACATAGTCTGCCGGATTGAGATCAGTGGGAACATGTCGCCAAGTAAATGAACATGTTTTTTCCAAAATTTCGGCAACTCGATTACGAACAAAAGGTTGTAATTTGTTAGGTAGCATTTTTAACCAACCTAAAACGATTGTCGAATCTGACCAAAAAATTACTGATCTTACTTGGATTCGAAGCCAACTTATCACCTTCTCATAGAGACGGACACCGACAAGTGCAGCGCAGAGCTCAAGCCGTGGTATTGTAGTCGGCCTTATGGGAGCTACGCGACTTTTGGCTGAAAGTAAACGCACCATCATATTATTTTTATTATTAGAACTACGGACATACAGACATGCTCCGTAAGCCACTTGAGATGCGTCACTAAAAATATGTAAGTCTACATTAATATATTGATTGCAGATAACACTGCGTGGAATTCTTAAATTGTTTAAAAATGATAAGTTTTCTACAATTGAAAGCCATAATTTAATTATTTCCAAAGGCAACTGTTCGTCCCATGTAAGTTTAAGTAACCATAATTTTTGCATTAAAATTTTCATAGAAATTATGCATGGGGTCAGAAGACCCAGTGGATCAAAGATTTGTGAAATAACCGAGAGTAATCCACGTTTTGTAAAATTATTTAAAACGATTTCACTCGTCGAAAAATACAGTTCATCAGACTCGATTTGCCAGCTGAGACCTAATGTTTTACAGGATTCCGTAGAACCAATATTTAAGTCGAGAGATGAATTGTATTATTTAGTATTACTCGAGGTTCATTTGATTTCCACTTACGGAGGTTCATACCAGCTGTGGCCAGTTCAGAAGACACCTTGTTATGTATGTCCAGCGCATCTTGAATGCTGTCCCCTCCAGTTAATAGGTCATCGACGTAGAAGTCATGGATTATTATTTCGGAGATTTTTATCGTCCTTGCAATCCATACCAATCTGCTTAAGACATCTGGTGGCGAGATAGGGTGCGCTGGCTGTGCCATACGTAACGGTGTTTAACTGGTACGCTTTCATGGGCTCGGATGGATCATTTCTCCAAACTATTTGTTGGAGAGGTCTGTCATCAGGATGTACGACGATCTGTCTATACATCTTTTCTACGTCTGCTGATAGCACGTACTTATGTTGTCGGAATCTAAGTAGTATAGATAGCAGATCATCCTGTACAGTGGGCCCCACTAATTGCAAATTATTATATGAAATACCGGAAGTAGTCGGACTGCTCGCATTGAAAACAACTCTGAGCTTAGTCGTTAAGCTGCTTTCGCGAATCACTCCATGGTGTGGTATAAAATATGCTAACCTCCGTGGATCAAATGAACATTCAAACATGTGTCCTAGTGTTAGATACTCTGACATGAATTGAGTATAATTATTTTTAAATTTGGGTTGACCCTTAAACCTACGCTCAAGAGAAAGGAGGCAAAGCTTGGCGCGTTGTAGGGAACCGCCTAAAATATCACGTGATTGTTTCAGTGGTATTCTCACACAGAAACGACCGTCTTGTAGATGAGTTGTATTTTTAATAAAATGTTCTTCGCACATTTTCTCCTCCGCGGAGAGAACTGATGTATCATGGCAATCCTCCTCTAGGTGCCAAAAACGCGTCAATAGGTTTTGAATATCATCGTTATTATCATTGTGCGAAGAGACGTTTTCCCTCAAATTTAGTTTTACTAAAAACGACTTAGTGTTAGAAATCGAATACGGTACTTAGCCATTATTAATTAAGGGGCCTGAGACTAGCCATCCTAACCTAGATTCAATGAGTACCGGCTTTCCATTTCCTAAACTAATTTTACGTACCCCTAATAGGTCCCAAAAAACATCAGCACCAATATAAAAGCTTTTACAAAAATTTACTTCGCAAATATCCGCGTTATAAAACAATTTAAGAATTCCACGCAGTGTTATCTGCAATCAATATATTAATGTAGACTTACATATTTTTAGTGACGCATCTCAAGTGGCTTACGGAGCATGTCTGTATGTCCGTAGTTCTAATAATAAAAATAATATGATGGTGCGTTTACTTTCAGCCAAAAGTCGCGTAGCTCCCATAAGGCCGACTACAATACCACGGCTTGAGCTCTGCGCTGCACTTGTCGGTGTCCGTCTCTATGAGAAGGTGATAAGTTGGCTTCGAATCCAAGTAAGATCAGTAATTTTTTGGTCAGATTCGACAATCGTTTTAGGTTGGTTAAAAATGCTACCTAACAAATTACAACCTTTTGTTCGTAATCGAGTTGCCGAAATTTTGGAAAAAACATGTTCATTTACTTGGCGACATGTTCCCACTGATCTCAATCCGGCAGACTATGTTTCCCGCGGTACGAACATAAATCAAATTCACAATCTTGACTTATGGTGGTCTGGTCCACAGTTTTTAAAGGGTGACATGTCTAATTGGCCTGCTAACCCTATTGTAAGTGATAAGCTACCAGAAACTCGCTCAGAGATTTCTTTAGTTGTTACCGATCAGAAAAAACCTTTAATTGACTTTGAGAGATTCTCTAATTTTATAAGATTACAACGTTCTATGGCCTACGTGTTAAGATTTATTAATATTTGTAAAAAGAAACCGGTACAAGGTAAATTTTTAAGTAACGACGATCTACATAATTCTTTAAATACTTTAATTAGATTGTCACAAATTGAGTCATTCGAGGAATATGTGACCTTATATAATAACAAAAAATTGCCTTCAAAATGTACTATTTTGAAATTTAATCCTTTCCTAGACGAAAATAAAATAATGCGTGTCGGTGGTCGTTTAGGAAATGCATTATTTACTTATGAAAAGAAACATCCGATTATGTTACAGTCCACTAATCGTTTTACCAAATTATTGTTTAAGTATATGCATGTCAAGCTTTTACACGCCGGTCCTCGTTTACTATTAGCTTCAATTAGAGAAATGTATTGGCCCATCGGAGGCCTCAAGTTAGCTAAATATTGTTATCGACAATGTTACTTATGTTGTCGTTATAAGGGAAGGGTTATAAATCCACTTATGGGCAATCTGCCTCAGGGTCGAGTGACTCCCGGCGGTTTTCCCTTCGAGAGCGTTGACGTCGATTATGCTGGACCTATTATGTCCGCCAGTCGTCAAGGCCGTGGTTGCAAGCTTACGAAAGTGTATATTCTCATCTTCGTTTGTTTTGCGACAAAGGCTGTACACGTGGAGTTAACAGGCGATCTAACAAGTAATAATTACTTATCAGCACTTCGTCGATTCATTTCACGTCGCGGAAAACCTAAACACATATACTCCGACAACGGAACTTCATTCGTAGGCGCATACAACGAAATCGGTCGTTTTATAAAAGACAATTGCAATTCACTGTCCGAGAATTTGGCTCAGGAAAATATAAATTTCCATTTCATTCCTCCGCAAGCCCCTCACTTTGGCGGTCTTTGGGAAGCAGGCGTTAAGTCAATAAAATATCATTTACGGAGAATATTAGGTAATTGTAACCTTACATACGAGGAATTAAACACTGTGCTGGTTCAAATTGAAGGTGTACTGAACTCTCGTCCGCTGACACCTCTCTCCACGGATCCTGATGACTTACTGCCATTAATCCCGGGACATTTCCTCATCGGCCGCCCCATCACCTCTCTTCCTTCTCAAAATTATGAAGAAGTCCCTAGCAGTAGACTGAGTCGATACGAACGCATCCAACAACTTCGTCAACTTTTTTGGAGAAGATGGAGCAAGGAATATCTCTCAGAACTCCAGCAGAGATCAAAATGGCGTTCCAATGCTGACACTTTAGGGACGGGTGATCTTGTAGTTCTGAAGGAAGACAATTTACCGCCGCTCAAATGGCGACTGGGTCGAATTACAGCCTTTCATCCCGGAGCCGACGGCATCAACCGCGTTGCCGATATCAGAACTGCCACCGGAATCGTCCGAAGACCTTTCTGCAAAATCTGCCCTTTACCTAACAACAAGGAAGGCTAATTTTGTTGAAAGACAAGCTTTCAACGCCTGGGGGCATGTCTACGAAAACGTCTGTGGTTTTTGTTACGCACGAAGTTGCGTTACATACGTTTTACTTATTTCTTTTTTCTTTGTTGTTTTTAAGTTGTAACCACCGCCAATTTTTTTTTGTCAATTGAAAGTACACGGCGATAATATCTGCATCAAGAAGTTTTATTTTTCACCTCGAATTAAAAAGTATTCAGACAGGGTGATGTTATATCCCCGAAACTCTTCACCGCTGCATTGGAAGACGTTTTCAAACTTCTGGACTGGAAAGGATACGGTATTAACATCAATGGCGAGTACATCACTCACCTTCGATTTGCTGACGATATAGTCCTTATGGCAGAATCGCTGGAGGACCTAAGCACTATGCTCAATGACCTCAATAGTGTCTCCCAACGGATAGGTCTTAAGATGAACATGGACCAAACAAAGATTATGTTTAATGTCCATGTCACACCTATGCCGGTAGTTGTTGGGAGCACTAAACTCGAAGTTGTTGACGAGTATGTTTACCTAGAACAAATAGTCCGACTAGGTAAGTCCAACTTCGACCGAGAGGTCAATCGACGGATTCAACTCGGCTGGGCAGCGTTCGGGAAGCTACGACACATCTTCTCGTCAGACATACCTCAAAAGCTTAAAACGAAATTGTACAACCAGTGCGTGTTGCCAGTGATGACTTACGGAACTGAGACGTGGTCCTTCACTGCTGGCCGTATGAGGAAGCTCAAGGACGCTCAGCGAGCTATGAAGAGGGCTATGCTCGGAATTTCTCTGCGTGATAAACTTAGAAATGTGTATATCTGCAGTAGAACCAGAGTAACCGACATAGCCCAACGGATTAGTAAGCTGAAGCGGCAGTGGGCCGGCCATATAGCTCGAAAAACCGACAACCGATGGGGAAGAAAGGTTCTCGAGTGGCAGCCTCGTACCGGTAGGTGAAGTGTAGGGCGACCCCCCACGAGATGGAGTGACGACCTGGTAAGGCATGCAGGAAGTCGATGGATGCAGGTGGCTCAGGACCGTGATTTGTGGCATTCCTTGGGGGAGGCCTATGTTCAGCAGTGGACTTATGAAAGGCTGTGATGATGATGATGATGATAATGAAATTCATTAAGCTCTGTATATGGACTGGCTCTACACCGTGACATAATGAGGCGAATTGATTTTCGCCATTTTGGCGCTGCCTGCAGAAGTGAACATCTGCGTATCTAATAATAGAGATAAGACAATGTAACAATATACGAGTATATCGATAAAAATTCTATACCGAGGCTTACACGTAACGTCCACGCTATTCATGTATCATGTAAATATAGATGCAAGCTTTAAACCTCATATAAAACCAAGATCGACGCTGCGTTGTTGCTCTTTTTACGTTTTTATTCGTAACTACAGAGCGGATTTTGCTCCAGATTTCAAACTTGGGTATGTTGGTTCATTCGCGAGCTTTAAATATTCAATTAGTTCTGGAAAATATTCAACTAGATTAACTTTACAATTTTCTAATAAATATCACATTATACCAAACGAACAG